TGGCCTGCCTCATGTTTTCATATACGGACAAAGGCACGATTATCTGGGGGACTGACCGGATAGTGTAATTTCTGCAGAAAACCTGCTTTAATCCGGTCCCTGTGGCTATTTTGGCCGGATATTGTGATAACTTTATCCATTCACGATTTTGGCCGTATAAGGGCGTTTTTCGGATGTTCGAATCCCGGATAATCGCGGGGTTACAGTATATGGGACCAACCCCAGTTCGTTGAATTCGTTGCAAGAGGTGACCTTCAGGAGGCGTTTGTCAGTGTCTTTTTTTTTTTTCTTGAACACAATAAAAATGCATTATCATATTACATACTGTACCTATATATTACTTCTCTACTAAAAAATACTGTAATTCATAAATTTACCTTATTGTTGAAGTTATGTCCATCTTGAAGTTTCGTGAAGTTGTGAATGCTCTACAGTAAATACGTACTGTAGTGCATTATGCCGTTAGCACCGTGTTGATTAAAAGTAGTTCTGCTGTATGTTGAGTACTACAATACAGTTTATGAAAACTATTGTACACTAAAATTGCTGCAACTTTAATTTTAACAGTGTACACACTTAAATTTAACACTTGTTCTAACTGTTCATGCCACACAAATGTTTTTAGATGTTTGCATCAGCTTTGCTGGTGCTGGCTGCTTCTGTGGGTTCAGCTGCTTCTGAGCTGGTGCTGGCTGCTGTTGTACCAGTGCTGGGTACAACTGTGCTCGTGCTGGGTACGGCTGTTCTCGTGCTGGGTACGGCTGTTCTCGTGCTTGGTACAGCTGTTCTCTTGCTGGGTACGGCTGTTCTCGTGCTGGGTACGGCTGTTCTCGTGCTGGGTACGGCTGTTCTCGTGCTGGGTACGGCTGTTCTCGTGCTGGGTACGGCTGTTCTCTTGCTGGGAACGGCTGTTCTTGTACTTGGTACGGCTGTTTTCGTGCTTGGTACGGCTGTTCTCGTATTGGGTACGGCTGTTCTTGTGCTGGGTACGGCTGTTCTCGTGCTGGGTATGGCTGTGCTCGTGCTGGTTGATTTTCTGCTACAAGTTCTTGCAAAATATTGCTTCATTTTTGGCATTAAGCCACTATTAGTAAGCCCCTGAGACTTTGTTTTATAACCAAAGAGCTGTAGTAAAAAAATGGTCAATTCCACAATTATTCTTCCACCGGCGGATAAATACTGTACGTCAATCGCAGACAAAGCTAAGGGCACTGGGTGCATACTGTATGAACGCAGACTAAGTCTATACGTACACCCTACTGTAGGCTGGTGTTTAAGCCAGGTCCAGTAACATAAATTTCTCTTAAATATTCGATTTACATCAAATTATATATTTTTGGGTTATATATTTAGTTTAGCAACATTATGATGATAAAAGCTATAAAAAATACTTATTTTGGAACTGATTTATTAATTTTATTATTTCGAAGCCATAGGTCACTGAACTGTGGCGACGAAATCGAACAAAACACCGCCGGGTGTTGTGTTTGATTTCCAGTAACATAAATTTCTCTCAAATATTCGATTTACACCAAATTATATATTTTTGGGTTACATATTTAATTTAGCAACATTATTACGGTAATAAGAGCTATAAAAAATACTTTGGAACCGATTTATTAATTTTATTATTTCGAAGCCGTAGATCACTGAACTGTGGCGACGAAATCGAACACAACAAGCATGGCGTTGTGTGGACAGGGATTAGACCCGTCCACTCGTGCTGGAGTTGTGCCGCCAATAATATGAATAATTTCTCAAATAGCAGATATTTATCTTATTACAGTATATTTTTGGTTTTATTTAGTTAGTTTAATTAGGATAATAAAGAGTTATTAAAACACCAGTTTTAGAAATGATTTATTAATGTGAAACGTTCAAAGTCATGGGTCACTGAACTATGACAACACAGACGAAAGTGAGTGAAACCTCATTGTAAAGTGAGGTTTACTGTACAGTATTCCCTTATCTGTCCACCCTCACTCATCTTGTTTCATCACAGAAAATGTATATAAGAAGATTTTAACACATTAGCTAGCTATTCACGCTTTAGCGTTTAAATTAATTTACAAAGATACGTGTGCCACAAATCGGTGAACGAAAATCATTGAAACTCAGTCGTTCACTAATTGTGGACCATTCTGGCTGGTGTTTGGTTCATATGATTCACTTGTTGTGTGGTTCACTTGTGTGATCCAACTTGTTTTATGGAGGAATTATTAATTGTAATCTGTGATAGAATGAGACAGTTTTCCACCACTCTGTGAACTCTGTCCCAACATCGTAAGCTTGTGGACCACTTGTGGTTCACTTGTGTGGTCCACTTGTGTTGTCCATTTGTGGGATCCAACTTGTCATATGAAGGAATTATTAATTGTAATCTATAATGGTATGGTAAAGTTTTCCATCACTTTGAACTCTGTCCCAACATCGTAAGCTTGTGGACCACTTGTGGACCACATGTGCGGTTCACTTGTGTGGTCCACTTGTGTGATTGAACTTGTCATATGAAGGAATTAATAATTGTGATCTGTGATAGAATGTGAAGGTTTTCCACCAGTCTATGAACTCTGTTTCGACGTTGTAAGCAAATCCGAACATCCCCCGCTTCGGCGAACCATTGTTCGTCGAATCGGGTGAGTAAATCCAGCCTGAAAAGTGTGCGAACTAGCCGGAGATTCGTTGAATCGGGGTACGTTGAATCGAGGTTGTACTGTATATCCATGAAAAAAAATTCTTAGTTCCCCATAGCGTTCTCTCTTGAAAACGGGTTTAACAACTGTTTCAATGTCCCCAATCTCTACTAGATTATATCGCGTAGCGTATTTAATGTTCATGAGGACGTGATCACTCTTTTCCAAGGGAGGAAGGTACTGGATGTCAAATACCTCTTCTTCTTTCCTGGTGAATACTAGGTCCAGTACTGACGGAACATCCCCTTCCCTCATTCTTGTGGCCTGCTTGACGTGTTGATACATAAATGTCTCAAAGATATGGTTTAAAAATCTGCCTGTCCAAATGTCCTCTGTTCTTGCCTCGTAGGCCTCCCAGTCTATTGCCTTAAAGTTGAAGTCCCGCTGTACCAACAATCAGGATTTATCTTTGTCAGCTCTTACCATAATCTCTCTCATGACCATTATGAGGCCCTCTCGTTTATCATCCAGTTCTTCCTCTGTCCATGTGTTGCTTGCTGGTGGGCTGTAGGCATTTAAAATTATCAGCTTATCTTGATTCCAGACCTGCAATGCCATTATGTCAATATCTCGAGGGTTTGCAAATATTAACACTTGCCTTCAGGTGTTCCTTCACCAGCACAGCCACTCTTTCCCCCCCCTTCCTAGTTTTCCCATCATGTCTCCAAACTGAGTAACCCCTTGGGAATACGACCTCATTTAAAATATTTTCTTTAAATTTAGTCTGTTAATGTGACAATATCTGGGACTTTGAGATGAATTATATCCTTCAACTCCAATATTTTCAATCTCGCTCCATCTATATTGGTATATACTATTTTCAGGAATATGTTCCACTTTCCTTTGTTCTTTACACCCCCTTCCTTTAATGATTTTGTTGCTTTGTCTTTATTTACCATTTCACAAGCTTTCCAGTCTGACACTTTGTAGAAAAAAGAATTCCTTTCTTCATTTCTCTCCCGATTTAGACGTTTTGCTTCGATGAGGTTCATTTTCAGCTTTTCTCTGTCCTCTTTTGAGAGGTCTTGTCTTATTGACCAAAGTTTGGCATTCTCATCACATTGCAATTTTCTGGCATTTCAAAGCACTTCTGTCATATACTTCACTCCATTAAACGTCACCCTTAAGGGGCAGTTCTTGTCTTTCATATTTTCCTATCCTCCTAAAATCACTAACATGCTCCTTTGAATTTAGGCCTTCTCCTAATCCTACTATTTTTTTCTGTGATTTTCATCTCTTCTGCTGCTCAGTCCACCCTAGATGAAATTTCCTTTTCTAAACATCTAAATATTATTATGAACTTCTATCTATTGTGTTTAGTACCAATTTACTGTTGGTTACCAGTTCTTTCCTAATTGCTTGCCTAAGATCCACTTCTTGTTTATCATTTCTGGTTTTGACTTCCAAACACACTTCCTTGATTGTCTGTCTCTATCTTTTACAACTTGAGCATACGTCTCTTATTTCTTCTTAATACTTTTCTAGTTTTTTATTAACCTCCTCTATGTGAGTTGTCAATGAAGTTTTCAGTTGTAGATCCTTACCTAACTCTATGTTAGCCCCTCAGGCTCCCTTGGAGTTGTTCACCATATGAGACTATTTTCTTGTTTATTTCTTCAAAGTTACCACACTGCAATATCCACACTTCATTTTCTTTCACTAGTTCCTTAATTTGCTCCTCCTGATTTGTTACCTTGTCTGTTAATGCAGTAATAATCTTACCTTGCTGAAGCATACTCCCTTTTAGAGTGCAAAGCTCACTCCTAAGAGCTCCATTATCCTCTTCCAATTTAAGCACTTTCTCTTCATAGTTCTTTTGCATATCCTCAATTATCTCTAACTTGACAAGAACACCTCCTTTCCCTATATCTTGTGGTGAGAATCCTTTGAAACAATCCTCTGTTGGTGTGTTTACATTTCTCGTAGTGGCAGCGGCCATCTTTGCTTTTGTTCTAGAAACAAAACAAACTTTTCCAACTCGGCTATTTTCACTCGCCTTTTCTTGTTTATTGTATTTTATTTGCTTTTACACTTCCCTGAACCCTTATGTAACCTGGGACACCACTGTAGCCCTCAACCTGTTCCCAATACTTAGGTAATTTGATTATTCCAGAAACTTGCTGCATGTGACTCCTGCCTCCTCTGGCTCCAGTCACTCTCCCATGGTGTGACCTTAATTCCTTGCTCAATGCTTACCAGGCTGTTTGTGCTGTATAGTGGCTTTTCATATTTGTAATAAATAAGTAAAAGATGAAATAAATGAACTTTAGAATGAAAATTCATTAAATTCTTCACTATGTTGTGCAGGCAGTGTCGGCACCAACTTGCAAGGAGATGCTAGATGTGCTGTCTTCTTCAGGCTTTCAGGTAAGTGTGATGTGTCCAGGTACAGTACAATACCAAAATACCATAGCTGTGTCTACTTACAAAGCAAGTTTTTGCTGTGCTTTATTCAATAAATAATGACTAGTTATCAAAGAATGCAATGTGTTCATAATTTAGTAATAAAAACCTACACCCCTTAACCCCCCTTGATTAACCCTTTGGCTATGATGCCATTTTGTCAGCCCTGTCCCTACCAAGTATCAAAATGCAGCCTTAAAACTATATTTTTAAATTAACATCTATTATTACATTTCTAATAAGAATACCACCAGTCATTTTCAGTGGTACTATTGAAAAAACAAATTATAATTGTAAGGAAAATATTTTATCAGCCTCCATTTTATATTAGAAAGTATTGCACAAAACCTGACTATGTGTTTCTAAGACATAATATTTGTGTATAAATACAACAAATTACAGTACCACGAACAAATTACTGTAATTTGTTTTAATTTTGAAAGGCTATTTTCTCTTTCTGGTTTCTCTTTTTTACTTATTTTTTTTTCTTATTAGAAATTTCCATATTTGTCATGAAAAGCATTAAAAATTAGTTTTATATAAATTATTATTTTTCCATAGATTGAGTTGTTACATAGTAACGGGTACAAGAAAAGATAATGGTAACTTGTATATTAAGGCCATATATATAGATTCTAAATGTATAAAATATAATAAATTGTAAAAATGAGCATACATAGGAAATTTGAGTGTCTGTTCAGCATTTAGTTACAAAATATAACTAAAAATATTTATGGTATTTTCTGGGAGGGCTCCTATGGCAGCTCTTTGGTACATGCCACTTGGCAAATTCCACCCAATTCATTCCACACAGAGCCCGTGTAAGTCATAGGCCTAGACAGGGAACCACAGGCCCAAAACCTGACCCCCCCCCCCCTGCCCTCCTCTAAAGAGACATAAGGTGCAAGGAATCATAGCTCACCCTTACCTTAAAGAAGGGTAAGGGTGAGCTATGATTCACCAGAAGGGTAGGCAAACCAAAATTACAGGTCACCAGAAGGGTAGGCAAACCAAAATGCAAACTGCAAGGTAAATAAAGCATAGAAAAACAGAACAGTGAAGCCTGGAATCTGCTGAAGCACAGGCCCGTGAAGCGGTACATAGTTCCAGCTGTGCCCCACCAGGGCACTTAACACCTTCCTCCTTAATCCACAAACCTTGACATCTCAGTCTCATTGCCTTGCAATTTACGTCTTTGACGTCCTATGTTATGCTCTTCTTCTGGCCCCAGCACCTATTGGATCCCAGCTTTTTTTATAAGTGCTGGCCATCCTGAACTGTTTTTTGTCCTGCATGGACCGTTTACTTGTGTATTTATTGTGTTTTAGGGTCTAGTTCACAATGCATTTCTGTATTTTTGCCTCGCTTTTTGTATGGACTCTGATTAACTGTCTACTTCAAACTACATATGCACTTCATTAGAAGCATTTCATTACATTCAATGCAGGTTTTTTCCCTGTATGTTGATGTGTGGCTTTCTTGTATGTTGTTTTCTTATTTAATTTTCTAATACAAAAAAGCTTGTTAATATTTACCCTTACTCATTATAGAATTAAAAGTATAAAAATGTTAGGCAAGACAAAAACATAACATAAGCTCTTTCCACACTTGTAAATAGATTCCAGTATTCCTATATATTTCTTGCTCACAACATGTTATAATGTACAGTACTAATTAATCCAACACTCCTTAATTATGTTAAAAAATAAACATAAGTAGGTGTGACATGGTCATGTGAGGGGTTTGAATGATACATAATTGTTGATTTTGGCTCCATTGCAAAGAGTGATATTTTATTGTCCCAAACAGATGGCAGCATTTACCTTATCCAGGTGCACACTACATGATTTTGAAAAGTTACAAATCCACAAGGGCCGTGACGAGGATTGGAACCTGCATCTGAGAGCATCCCAGATGCTGCCTTAATCAACTGGGCTACGACATGGAAAAGAATTGCAACCAGAAATTCTACTGAATTTACTTGGATCCTGCAGCCTTTCCGAAACACAAACCAGGATTTTACACAATTCCCCCTTGCACTCTCGCTATGTCAATAGGCCATTCTACCTCTTCGTCCTTACTTCATTACACGCAGAAATTACAGTAGCATGATGAATCAAATGAACTTGGTTTGTGTTTCGGTGAGGCTGCAAGTAAATTCAGTAGAATTTCTGGTTGCAATTCTTTTCCATGTCGTTGCTCAGTCGATTAAGGCAGCGTCTAGGATGCTCTTAGATGCAGGTTCCAATCCTCGTCACAGCCCTTGTGGATTTCTTCATTTGATTCATCACGCTATTGTGATTTCTGTGTGTAATGAAGTAAAGGCGAAGAGGTATAATGGTCTATTGACATAGCTCATTTGCATGGGGGAATTGTGTAAAATCCTGGTTTGTGTCTTGTAGAGGCTGCAGGATCCAAGTAAATTCAGTAGAATTTCTGGTTGCAATTCTTTTCCATGTCGTGGCCCAGTCGATTAAGGCAGCGTCTGGGATGCTCTCAGACGCAGGTTCGAATCCTCGTCACGGCCCTTGTGGATTTGTTCATTTGATTCATCACGCTATTGTGATTTCTGTGTGTATTGAAAAGTTACATTTTATTAGAAAAGTAAATTAATAAAGACTGCATATGGCAGCAAAGCCCTTATTTTCTTGTTAGATCACTTGCTTTCTTTATAGCCAAAGGGTTAATTAGGCTACTTCAATATGTATTAAGGAAATACTGATACCACTAGCAATCTGAATTAAAAATTAAAAGATGATACAAATGGAATTCACGTTACAGTACAACCTCGATTCAACATACCCCGATTCAATGAGTTCGCACACTTTTCAGGCCGGATTTACTCACCCGGTTCGACGAACAATGGTTCGCCGAAGCAGTGGATGTTCAGATTTGCTTACGATGTCGAGACAGAGTTCACAGACTGGTGAAAAACTTTCCCATTCTATCACAGATTACAATTAATAATTCGCTCATATGACAAGTTCGCCAAGTTCGATCACACAAATGGACCACACAAGTGGACCACACAAGTGGACCACAAGTGGTCCACAAGCTTACAATGTTGGGACAGAGTTCACAGAGTGGTGGAAAACTGTCTCATTCTATCTACAGTTAATAATTCTTTAAAAAGACAAGTTGGATCACACAAATGGACCACACAAGTGAACCATATGAACCAAACAAGCCAGAATGGTCCACACAACAAGTGACATATATTAACCAAACACCAGCCAGAGTGGGCCACACAAGTGAACGACTGAGTTTCAATGATTTTCGTTCACTGATTTGTGGCACACGTATCTTTGTAAATTAATTTAAAGGCTGAAGTGTGAATAGCTAGCAAATGTGTTGAAATCGTCTTATATACATTTTCTGTGATGAAACAAGATGAGTGAGGGTGGACAGATAAGAGAATACTGTACTGTAAACCTCACTTTACAGTGAGGTTTCACTCACTTTCGTCTGTGTCGTCATAGTTCAGTGACCCATGACTTTAAACGTTTCGGATTAATAAATCATTTCTAAAACTGGTGTTTTAATAACTCTCTATTATCCTAATTAAACTAAACTAAATTAAACCAAAAATATACTGTAATATGATAGATATTTGGTATTTGAGAAATTATTAATGTTATTGGCGGCTCACAAGTCCAGCGCGAGTGGACAGGTCTAATCCGTGTGCACACAACACCATGCTTGTTTTGTTCGATTTTGTTGCCATAGTTCAGTGACCTACAGCTTCGAAATAATAAAATTAATAGATCAGTTCTAAAATATTTTTATAGCTCTTATTATTGTAATAAAGTTGCTAAACTGAATATATAACCCAAAAATACTGTATATAATTTGATGTAAATCCAATATTTTGAGAGAAATTTATGTTACTGGAAATCGAACACAACACCATGCTTGTTTTGTTCGATTTCGTCGCCACAGTTCAGTGACCTACGGCTTCAAAATAATAAAATTAATAAATCAATTCTAAAATAAGTATTTTTTATAGCTCTTATTATTGTAATAATGTTGCTAAACTAAATATATAACCCATAATTATATAATTTGATGTAAATTGAATATTTGAGAGAAATTTATGTTACTGGATCTGGCTTGAACACCAGCCTACAGTAGGGTGTACGTATAGACTTAGTCTGCGTTCGTACAGTATGCACCCAGTGCCCTTAGCTTTGTCTGTGATTGACGTACAGTATTTAACCGCCGGTGGAAGAATAATTGTGGAATTTACCATTTTTTTACTACAGCTGTATTGTTATACAATAAAATGTCTCAGGGGCTTACTAATAGTACCTTATTTATGCCAAAAATGAAGCAATATTTTGCAAGAACTTGTAGCAGAAAATCAACCAGCACGAGCACAGCCATACCCAGCACTGGTACAACAGCAGCCAGCACCAGCTCAGAAGCAGCTGAACCCACAGCAGCAGCCAGCACCAGCAAAGCTGATGCAAACACCTAAAAACATCTTGTGTGCCGTGAACAGTTAGAACAAGTGTTAAAATTAAGTGTGTACACAGTGTTAAAATTAAAGTTGCAGTAATTTTAGTGTACAATAGTTTTCATAAACTATTGTAGTACTCAACATACAGCAGAACTACTTAATCAACACAGTATTAACGGTATAATACACTACAGTACGTATTTACTGTACAACATTCACAACTCCATGAGACTTCAAGATGGACATAACTCCAACAATAAGGTAAATAACAAATGTAACACAGTATTTGTTAGTAGGGTAATAATATATAGGTACAGTATATAACATAATGCATTTTTATTGTGTACAAGAAAAAAAAAGACACTGATGCGAACACCTCCTGAAGGTCACCTCTAGCAATGCATCCAACTTACTGGGGTTGGTCCCATATAGTATGTTGAATTGAGGTTGTACTATATTAATTTTTTAACATTCATTTTCATTTGTCATATCCACACTATTCTCTAAGTTACTGTGAACTTTTTTTTTAGGTGATAGGTGAACGCAAGATTTACTGCCGTGAAAAGAGCAAGGAACCTCCATATTGGGGCCGAGTGCGTGTGCAACTTAAGAATCAGGCTGGGGAACCTGTGAATCCCAAGTTCAGGTATGGTTATATACAGGGGTGCAGTGCCAGTTTTATAGGTACCAGAGCTCTGGTGAGACTGAAAAAAGCATGTCATTTCCTATCCTGTTTCTATATATATATATATATATATATATATATATATATATATGTCGTACCTAGTAGCCAGAACGCACTTTTATGCCTACTATGCAAGGGCCGATTTGCCTAATAAGCCAAGTTTTCCTAAATTAATATATTTTCTCTAATTTTCTTCTTATGAAATGATAAAGCTACCCATTTCATTATGTATGAGGTCATTTTTTTTTATTGGAGTTAAAATTAACGTAGATATATGACCGAACCTAACCAACCCTACCTAACCTAACCTAACTTATCTTTATAGGTTAGGTTAGGTTAGGTAGCCAAAAAAGTTAGGTTAGGTTAGGTTAGGTAGGTTAGGTAGTCGAAAAACAATTAATTCATGAAAACTTGGCTTATTAGGCAAATCGGGCCTTGCATTGTAGGCTGAGAAGTGCGTTCTGGCTATTAGGTACGACATATATATATATATATATATATATATATATATATATACACACACACACACACACACACACACACACACACACACACACACACACACACACACACACACACACACACACACACACACACACACACACACAAGTGGTACCTCGCATAACGAATTTAATCCGTTCCATGTTCGTCATGTGAAACGGACGTCATACAAAACGAGTGTCCCCCCATGTAACCAGTGTGATGCACTGTGTTTATTGTGAAATTTCCCCAGAGTGCATGACATCAAATGTTCCCCAAAATAAAATTTTTCTTTGTAAAATGATAAATTACCGTCCCTGAACATGTCTATGTAAAAATAATTACCAAATTCCACTTACTTTGGCTGTGAGGGCGTGGACAAGGTGCGCTGTGACGTCATCAGGGCCTGGTCGCCCGTGTGTGAAGCTCCCAGACACGGTCGCGCAGGCCATTCAAGCACCGCGTGTTGCCACAAATATATTTTCAAATATTTTTTCTATGCATTTCCAATGCGGTTTTATTTGTTTCATTTATCGTATATGATGCATATTTGTGACCTTTACAATATGTATACAGTAGAATGTTCATAATTTTCCATGAAACTGTGATACATGTGTCAGTAATGTGTCCACAATAAATGTTTATTGTCACAATATTACGTGGTAAAAATTCACTAATATTACAATATGTACAGTTTCACATACTATTTACACAGTAACACACTGTATTACACACTCAGTACTTTGGAGGTGCATAATAGTCAACGAAGTAGTCCATGGTACACAGCGCGACTTTGCTCTCCTTGCACCAGCTACAGATAGATTTTTGCTTCCTGTTTCATCGTTATGTGTGCTTGCAAATAACGCACTTGCGTGCACCCTTGGCTTTAGTACTTGTAGGTGGTATGTAGCCAAGCTTGTAAAGCATAAAGTAGTATTGAAACGATTATAGGAAAAGCTCAATTTGTAAGGTAGTCTTGAAAAGATCGCTTTGTAAGGTCCCACACAGGAAGAGATTCAGCTAGCCTCAAAGAGTGTCCATCAGTCAGGAAGAGATTCAGCTAGCCTCAAAGAGTGTCCATCAGTCAGGAAGAGATTCAGCTAGCCTCAAAGAGTGTCCATCAGTCAGGAAAAGATTCAGGTATTCTTGAAAATATCAATGAACACCACCACCATGGAAGCCGCTAACACTGTTAATCTATGCTACTTGTATCAGATGCATCATCACTGAACGCAGAAAACGATTCATCTATGTATCATCTATATACATTAGAGATGGCAAGGGTGGGGCTCAGAGCTACACCTGGATACGCTTGCTGTATCATCCTCATAGGTGCTGTATCACTGGCATCCGACCGTTGTGTTAAGCCCTTATTGCGCCTAGCTTCACCAATGTTATGACCCTTATGTTCTTCAAACAAAAGGGTCTGAATTGCACCGACTGAGCACAGTCTTTCAACACCGTGTGGGACAGGTGTTTGAGAGCCAGAGGCACGTGTGCCACAAATGGTTGCTCACGCAGTACTAACCCAGCCAGCAGCCCTTGTCTTTCATATTCGTTATGGCAAAAGGTTCGTTCAGTTTTTGTTGGGTAGGCTGCTCCATTATGACAATCTTTCTTTGTTTCAAATGTGTTCCATTTGTTTTGTATTTGTCACTTACGTCTCAATAATGGAGCAGCCTACCCGACAAACACTGAACGAACCTTTATGACATTTGTTCAATTTTCAAATTGTTTCAACAGTTCTTTTATTTTTCGTTTTTTTTTTTTTTTTTTTTAAGAAACATGGAGCAGCCGACCTGTAGACCACCGAACGAACCTTTTTGACATTTGTACTGGTTTTCAAAATTCTTCATTTTTTTTATTATTTACGTGTTTTGTATGTAAGAAACATGGAGCAGCCTACCTGCCGACCACCGAACGAACCTTTTGCTATAAGGCAAATGAAAAATAAATATTGAACACATTTGAAGAAAGGAAAATGTCATAATGGTTTATTCAGTGTATGTAAGGTAGGCTTCTCCATTATTGAGACGCAAATGACAAATAAAAAACAAATGGAACACATTTGAAACAAAGAAAGATTGTTATAATGGAGCAGCCTACCTGCCGAACACCGAACGAACCTTTTTGACATTTGTTGTATATCAGACATTTCATTTCTTTTTTCCTACAAAAACGTCAATGCTTTGCAACATCTCAGTAGTCACCCTTTTATATCCCAGCATCATTAGCATCTTTAAACAAGAACAACATAATTTATGTGCATCTTCGGAGGCGTCTAAGAATGTGCAAGAAGCAGCGCGACCCCACCATGTGGTGTTGACGTTACTCAAACCAGCGTTCGTCATAAGGGACGATTTGACGCCGATCGGGCCGTTCGTTACCCAAAATATTCGTCTTTTGGGGCAATCGTTATGCGAGGTACCACTGTATATATATATATATATATATGTGTGAGGTGTTTTACAATAGTTTCCACAAAGGGTGAGGTGTGAGGTGTTTTACAATAGTTTCCACAAAGGGTGAGGTGTGAGGTGTTTTCAGGTGTGTGAAGCAACTCTTGTCCTGGTGTCATCTGCTGATCTGTGGTACAGTAGCCATATGATGCCACTGAACTAGAGGAGGTCCATGTAGTTAACCCTTAAGCTGCTAAGGGGTCCCGAGGAGATTTACACCCTTGTGCGCAAGAAAAAATATCTAAAAAATTATTTCGTCTACTAAAAATGTTAATTTGTGTTCCCTGAGCACGGGGAAAATACAAAAAAAATTGTAGGTGACATATTTTGGGTGCAATAGACCGAGGAAGTCTGGCAAAAGGTGGGCATTGACAGAGAGGTCGTCAGACCCAGTCACTGTCACTCGAGCTGACAGGTGGGAGTTGCCATAAAGATATTATTACTTAATTATTTCAATGTGTCTGATTGATTTTTATCTTAATTTTTTTGCAGTAATATTATTCAATAGTGTGTATTGTGATACAGTATATTTATATAATAAAAGTGGTGAATCATCGCTACCTTACCTTGAGGTGCTTCCGGGGCTTAGCGTCCTCGCGGCCCGGTCGTCGACCAGGCCTCCTGGTTGCCAGACTGATCAACCAGGCTGTTGGACACGGCTGCTCGCAGCCTGACGTGTGAGTCACAGCCTGGTTGATCAAGTTAAGGTTGGTCACAGCTATACTCAAAATTATGGTGTGCATATTGTTGATTCAATTATTATGTTCATCAAACAATGAACAAATACTGTGTCGGTTATTACACTATATACACATGTTATATATAAGTATCTGTATGTTTTGTTCACCATAATGAACCACTAAGTTGGTATTATGAGTCAAAAAGCAACGAGGAGTGACCGCCATACACCAGCCAGCCACTCACTCCCTCAACACCTCACTTGCCCACATTCTCCTCCCACCATACTGTTTTTGCTTTTATTCACTATATACAGACGTTATATGTATCTATATGTTTTGTTCACCACAACTGTACAACCAAGCTGATATAGTTAGTTCAGGCACTAAGAGACGTCACCACACACAGTCAGCTGGCGGCTCCCTCACTCATTCCAGGTCACGCGCACTAAACTTTCTCCCCCAACAATACCGTTTGTGGTGTTATTACAATATATACACTTATTATATATAAGTATCTACATGTTGTATGCACCGTAACTGTACACCTAAGCTTGTGGAGTGCCCAAAGAGCATAGTGGTCACCTTATGCACTGCCAGACAAATCATGCAGACATCACCTCCGTCACCCATATGGCTCCTCCCAGCATAATCCTTTTGCTGTTATTACACTAATACACACATTATATATAAGTATCTACATTTGTGTTCACCATAGAGAACCACTGAGCTGGTATAGTGAATGCAAAAAAAAACAGGTGACTACACAGTCAGTAAAAGATGCAATCTCCCTCCGTCCCTCGGCATCACTCCTCCCACAGTGCTAATTATTACAGCAATCCTGCTATTATCACAACCCTGGTCATTTTTATCACAGTCGGGGGTCATCTGTAATATTGTCATAGCTAAATAATAGCAGTTGTTTATTTTTACATTTTTCAATAATGCTGTGGTCACAAGCTGAACAGCATTGCTGTTCGCTCATGCTGTGTGCGCCAGCCTTGGTTGCTCCAACAGTACTGTGGCTCTCACACCTGAGAATATTGCCCACGATTTAAAAAAAAAATGGCGTCTGTTTACAAGAACCCTGAGGAAGCTAATGTGAACCCCATGTAGCCGAGGGCCATTTGAATTGTGCCTGGCACCCTATGGCGTATATATATACGCCATGCGCACTGTGGGACATGTTACTCATGGCGTATATATATATATACGCCATGCGCAGTTTAAGGGTTAAACATAAGTGTTGATACATGATTTATGAGAACTCTTGAGTGTATTTATTATCAGGTTCATGTGACTGATTAACACTTTTCTGGATTTTCGACTTGGAATTACGGGCGTT